AAAGAACATCTATATCCATGTTTACAAGGGACCCAAATGAAAAGAAATATAGACACAAACCCATCTAATAGTAGACGAAACATTTTGAGAAGCCCAACCCGTCTCGTATTCAAAGACTGAGCTAATAACGAAAAAATATTGAAACAAATATCTTTCCCAAAAGTCCTGCCGTGAAAAGAGATAAAACACAAGGGCGATTCCGAGATCAGCCAGAAATCAGACAAATAGTACAGATACAGCGTGCTTCGCACCAAGGATAGACACGGAAAAAAAACGGAATCAAACCCAGTAAAAGGGTGTGGCTGGCTGCCGTGTAAGGAATGAATGGAGGGAGCGTATGTAGCTATCGCATCCATTCCAAGGAAGGAAATGGCCAGCAGAAGAAAAAGCCATATCCGGGAGCGCTTTTTTAGAAAGACAAGAGAGAAGGCGAAAATGGGCGACAAAAACTATACGGAGTTGATCCGTGATAGAACTTGTTTGTCCAAGGCTTGCGAGCACAAAAAGACGAAAATTGCAAATGGGGTATACTGCGTAAAGAAGTCTCAAGGGAAGGTAGGGGCCATACTGCGTATTTGTATGATGTATGCAGAGTGGGCCACCAAAGGCAATAGGCTCTTTGCTTTTCGTCGCGTTACATGAAAAAGTAAGAAAGTAAAAAGTAATTAAGAGAAAATAGGGCTGTCGTAAGTCAATGATATCGATCTATCGCTAAATTTGTTATGCCGTAAAAGGTCGTCTCGTATTCTCCGATCCGGGGGAACGAGTATCGAGTGAAAGGCGAATGGATGGTGCGCTTTTTTGTGGTACAGAAATGCGCACTGTGCCATTGATCGGAGGTATTTGTTCTGGATCGTTGTCATCGGAATTGGGCACCACCTTGATGCTGGAGCTCACAGATGCCGAGAGGTAGCGGGAGCTGAGTGGGAGCTGGTATTTGATGATGCCGCGGACAGTCAACTCAAAGGGGTGTTGGAGGACTCGCTCCCAGCGCTCTGTGCCTCCTGTCTCAGTTTTGTTTCCTGGTCGGGCTAGACGGATTTGTCCCTTGGAGCTGGAAGTCAAATGATTCCAAGGAGATGATTCGAAAGACAGTGGGGAATCGAAGTGGAACACGCGGCCAAGCAACATAGATCGCGAATCGCCTTCTGGGTCAGTTGGAGGATCGGTACCCTTGTCAACCCCATCGGTGGTGTGGGGGTCAGAGTGGCTAGGCATGGCTTCCTTGATACAGTCCACATTGCCCAGGCACCTCACGGCCTGTGACAACTGCCAGCGACGTCGGCTTTGCTCCACGCGTGGGAAATTATCCGAACCACCATGCTCACGCCAAAGCTTGTCGGTTCCCACAAAGCGACTCGTCGCGAATATGTTGACATCGGTATCGTCAATGGTTACAGGGAACAAGTTCGGATTGACGGCTTGCACGTTCAAATCCAACATGATTTCCTGTTCCGAAGCCAGTACGTTTTGAATCGCAATAACTTGGACATCTAGGAGGGGTTGAGTTGCCGCAATGATGAATGAGGTAGCACCGCCAGCGACAATCAACAACATAAGGAAGATAATAGCGCATGAACCAAATCGAGCGAAAATTCCGCGTTCCCGCTGCGCCATATACTCCATCTGCCGCAAGCTTGCACTGTTGGGCCGTCGACCATTCCGACTGTGGATTGTACGTGGTGTGCCTACCAATGGTGTGCGTTCATCGTCCGCACCCTCTGCCTCGTAATCATAGGTATGAAAGTCACTACCCTTCTTGGTACCATTAATAGTTCTGTAATTGGGAGACAACCGGGTATTGCTGTGACGCGAATGCCTGTAGGTATTCCCGATGAAATGGCGCGGAGATTTTTGAGATTGACTCTGTGAGGTTGCACTGTCGTTATCAAAAAGATTTGGGTGCACGCCGTTGCGTCCATGAAGGCGGCCCAAATTGTGATGCCGAGGAGTAATGGTTCCACTTCCATCGGTTCTAGAAGAACGCGAAGCCATTTCAGCCTCAACACCATCGCCATCTATACTGCTGTTGTTATAGGGGTTGGCGTTGGTAAACTTCATGCTGCGTTTGCCTGTCACGCCGTGAGAAGCATCCCGCAACCCTCGGGTACGACTAGACATTTGGTCCGCTTGACTCGCCATGGATGTGGCACTAGGAGTCCGAGAATGATACCGGGGTGGGCGGGAAGGGTATGGATCAGGCGGGTTCGAGTCGTAAACGAAGGTCTCGTCGGAGTCCGAAACATCAGCCTCATCTACTGCATTGGCCACTCTAGCCTCAAAGATGTCTGCTTTGCTTGTTACAGGGCCTGTCGTAAGAAGGGCATTGGGCCGACGGGTCTTTTTCTTTTCTTTGCGCGGACGAATTGTCTCATTGGAGGGTTTCATGCGGAGTGTACCCTGGTCTGTACGGGAAGCGCTGCCTCGCTCACCATTTCCCACTCCCATGGAAACTTGCGGTATGGAACTGACAGTCTCTGTTTCTACAATCATGTTGCGAACTGAGCCGTCGGCAGGCTTTCCACGAGCACCAGCACTAAGTGATGTTGTCGACCGCTGTGACATGAGGGTTTTGGGCGGTTTGGCCGCACCAGACGCCTGTGGACGAGGCTCCTCTTTTGGCTCTGAACTTCGATTCTCACCACTGTCACTGCCACTTCCTAAAGTCTGAGGCGAAGCACGTGGAGTCGGGTCTTCATCGATCCGGTGCAATCGTGACTCCTCCGGGATTGCCAGCTTGGTCGGAGTATCACTGGACGGGGTAGAGGGATTGCTTGCCATCTCTTCGACTGTTTCTAGGGAGGAACCGGGCCCACTGACGCCTCTAGCGACAGTCCGGGTTGTGTTTCGGTCCGGTTTGGGTGCGAAATCCTCCAACGGCAATGAAGATCTTTTATGCGATGTATTCGGAAGGGTTGAATCCAGATCCGTGCGACGATTCGCGGCCCATGATGGCATATTGGACTTTTCCGGACCCGGAACATTGGCCAGCTGGTCGACAGGAGCGGAGAGAACAAGGGATCTGACAGGAGAAGACGAGGAACGTTGAATATTCGGTGCTGGTGAGTTTGTGGGTGGGCCAGATGTCAAGCCGTTAGAGTGCCGGGTGGGACTGGATTGGTCTTGACTGGTCTTTCGCGAGTGTGAAGATGCCCGGCTAGGCGAAGAAGGATTGTAGGTACGTGAGGAGTGTCGGACTGGGGAGGGTTCGCGGGAGGAGACAGCGGAGTTCGTAGTAGACGCGGTAGCGGAGGCGGTAGGAAGATTGGGGAAAAGCTTGGGGACCTGAGACATAGGTTGAGTCTGGGACGTAATGCTGGACCGTTCCATCATGCCATTTTCGCTGGCAGATTGATGCACAGGGTCTGACGCCGCCTCTGTATCCTTCGGCTCTCTGGATCGACCAGAGGTGCCGTTAAGATGAGGCGGCCTCTCGGACTCCGCAGCCATGGTCTGTGTCGAGTTAGAATGGACTGACACGACGTAGACAAGTCAGGAGACCCGAGAGGTACCCAGGGAGTTGGGCAGACACAGGGCCCAAAAGGGTAAGCAGAAAAAGCAAGGCACGGCGCCTAGACAGGGAAAGCTTGACGGTGAAGAAGTGAGTTGTTGTTGGTAAGAGCGAATGAGATATCACGAGGATCGAATGGGATGTTGCGCAGAATACGGGTCGTTACACATGTGAGGGTACAGCAGAACGAATAGCCGACGACCACATGCTGTTGCCGGAAATCGGATTCTGTACAGAAACGCACAAGCGAAAAATGGCTGCAGCAGGTGCAGGGGTTGGGGAAACTGGAGAGAGATGGATATTGTTTAGAACACCAAGTGGGCCGGGGTCAGTGTAGCGCAAAGAGCCCACACATCACTTGTGCCGTTGTGCTTTGTTGCCGGGAAGGACAAAAACAAGGCCTAGAACGAAGGAATGAAAGATGACAAGATTTGGTTGGCGGATTTAGAGCAAATGGAGACCCGCCGATCCGGCTCAACGTTTTGGCTTGACTGGTTTTACGTTGTTCTGGAGTGGCGTCTGGGCTGCCAAATGTGCAGGAGAAGTCGGTGACCAAAACCTCGGCGAAAAGTGGCTGACAGAGAGGGTCAGGTTTGTGGCAGAGGCCAATGATCGTGGTCCACGTCAAGAAGGGAGGGGGTCACTGCATGGAAGCACACGGATAGTCTAGAATCGAGTGGAAAATCTCGGGAAAGAAAGTGAATGTGATAAAAAAAAAAGAAGGAGATGGAGAGAGAGAGAGAGATGAGAAATCAAATAGAAAGAGCAGATGAACCGAAGAGAAACAAAAGGATGAAGTCACTTGGGATTTTGTCCGGGGTTGATGACGGACGGGTGACGCTAAAATTGGTAATAAATGGTAATAAATGGTAATAAAACGTGCAGGGTGCAGGAAATAATTAATTACTCATGTAAGGGAAATACAATGACTTCATCTTGCCACGGCCTCATCCTTTTTGTATACATTCAACTCTAACTACAACTACTACTTCGTATTGTAGTGAAGATAGACCGTTTTTTCTTTCTTTAACCTCGAACAGTCAATTGTCTTTCAGATTGTCTATATTTAGGCTCACTTTTTCGAGGGTTTCAACATCCTTGCTGTCTTTGTTCCTGTCAAAAGGACAATGAATCCTAAACGCCACTAAAACAGTACCAAAGTAAACAAGGACAAAATCAAGGATGAGTAGAGCGGAAGACTACTAGTAGTTCAATAACCTAGGGAAAACAGGTTTTAATTAATATACAGTTCTATCCAACCTGTAGCCGTTATGTAAACCTAGATAACCTCCCAAATGAAGCAGAGAGTAACGCATGCTTCGTATATCGTCAAACCCAAGGACCAACGCGCCAAATATTCAAAGCCAGAGCCAGAGACCAAAAAGAAAAACCCCAGGTTCCTAAAATGAACGAAAATAACCAAACCAAAATCCAGGGTATCGATCCAATCGACTAAAAGTAGAAAGCAATATGGGGACACATCATACTGCTATACAATTTTGTAGACTCTTTTAGCAGTCCAAACAGATACAAATGCAAACACGCATAGTCCGGCAGTAACTATAATACATTAGCAAAAGATATGGGAAGGAAAATGGGAAGACATACTGCACCAGAACCATGTCAGGCTATCGATTTCCTGACCCGGTACCTTGACGTTCATCCCCCACATGCCGCAGATGATGTTCATCGGTAGGACAATGGTACCAAGAACAGTCAGCTTACCCAGGACATCAGCAGTATGTTCCTGGCGCTCGTTCATGAGGATATTGATCTGTGCGAGATAGTTGGAGTGTGCGCGGGAAAGGATTCTGGAAGATACAGTCAGCGATTTCTGCGACATTTTGCAAGAGCAACCTTGAACATAGGTAATAATCTTACGTTTCGTAGTGCGTTAGGTTACCCGTCATCGTCATAATGTGATCCTGAATGTCACCTAGGTACAGACCAATCTCTGACTTGGGTGCGACCTCCCACTGCTCATTGCAACGCTTGGCAAAGCCCTTGACTACATCGGCCTTGTTGCTCAGAAGTCGATACAGTCCCATGACCTTCTTGCGGCATTCTCCCACTCGCCGGAGCATCTCTCCTGGTGCGAATGAAGGAAGCACGCTGTCATTGGACGACACCTCCTTGCTGGAAGAGTGCATCTGCATGATCATCTCGTCGATCTCATCGACCTCATCTTCAATTGCTTGGATCAGCGGGCCGAAGACGTCGGTAATATCATCAATTAGTGCGTATGAAATCCAGTCTGAGCTGAGGATCAGGTAATCCATCAGTTGACGGATACGCCGCCGCACATTGGCTGGGTGAGGTGTTTGCGAGAAATGGAAAGATATCACGCCTTCGCGGAAAACTACCACATACATGTTCACCGGCTCAAGATAGTCCTCGCTGTTGGTATCCTGCTCAAAAGTGCGGTAGTTGACGAAATAGTAGCTGCGGAACAACTCGACTTTCTCTCGAGCTTCTTGCATCATTATGTCCTCTGCCGTCAGCGCGTGAATCCCGAACGCTTTGGCAATCGTACGCATCTCTGCATCTGTTGGAGACAGGACATCTAGCCAGAAAGTCGGCCGTGGACCGTACCGTTTAGGCTTTGGGTTGGGGATATTGTTAAACGGGGTGTTTGAGGGTGCGGGCGAGGGCTCTCGGTGGGAGTCTGGGCGTCCTTCGCTAATGGCAGATAAACGTGAGGGCCCTCTGACAGGAGGAGCATTGCCAGTGATAAGGTCACTTGTAGATCTTCCATTGGGAACAACGGTCTGGGGTATCATGTAAGGATTGACGTTCGTTTGATGGGCTTGCCCTTGACTTTGGTTGTCCGTCTGATATGTTGGCTTGCTAGCGTGATGGGTTGAGTTATTGAAAGCTGGATTTTCAACGAAAGATTCTTCTTCCTCGTCGTCGTCTTCTGAGGAATCCTCCAATTCGGGGGGATCTGGAATAAACAAATCGCGGAAGCTACCACCTGGTTGTACCAGCTCGGAGATAGTTTGAGCATGAATGGTGCTCGGGAATTCCTCGTTGAAGTATGTGAACCGATAAGGCGCCTCATCCTCTTCGCGTCGCCAACCTGTATACTGAGGACGCAATCGGCCTTCGATGAGCATAGGCTCACTGATCCTTTTAACTCGAATGTCTCCATTGCGATCCTCTTTCTCCTCGCGGCTCCATTCTTCCAGCGCAGAGAGATCGGGCCATCGCCGATGTCTACGCCGTCGACGCTCACCGGGTTCATCTCGCATTTGCCTTGGTCCCTCGTCTCCCAATTCAGATATCGTTTCAGTAGGGAAGCATACGTCTTCCTGTGCTGGTACTGCCACGGTCCGGCGTCGCCGCAATTCTTGGTGTGGAGAGAGCAGCGGCGATCCAGGTGAAGAAGATGGCGCAGAATGCGGGTGCAGTCCATTTCCATCTATGTCGATGAGCGTGTCGTTGAGAGCATTCAAAGAGTCCTTGTGATTCTCCATTGACCGGGCCATTGAGAAGTCCCAATCAGCTCCTGTCACCACCGCATCGTCGTAATTCATTTCCGGGCCCAGCTTCGGAGACCCGGGAATCGATGGCGGGTTGTTGACATCGTAGTCTCGCTCTACAGTGGGAGAATAGAGTGGACTGCGATCATCCTTTGGCGAACATCCCGAGGACATAGTTTGCGTAGAGGACTGTCGAGCACGCGATGAGAAGTAACCCCCACGATTGTCTGTTCCATACCGATTGTGGCCTGGCGTGTGGCTTGAAATTGGCCGCATCAATGGTGTCCGATCATTGGCATCCTCCTCGTCACTATCACCATTGTGGTATTGTTGGCTCCGTCCTCCCCTCGGGGTGCTGCGAGGTTGCCCGTCGTTCGACCGGAAGACATTGGATGTTAGGGAACTCGGGCGAAATGACGATGCAAGGCGACTGTCACGACGAGGTCGCATCAAAGGTTGGTCCCTGCTCGGCAAGAAAAATCAGTATCCATCTCAAGCTCCGAGATGGCTCAATATCACGAAATCACGAGATCTTACCGATGGTCCAATAGCGCATCGCTCTCCAAGCTTGTATTACTCAGATTGCGCCCCAATTTGAAGAACGATTTGTCCTTCGAGGTTGGCCGATCGGCCTCCATTGAATCTCTGACACCTCCAGCATCCGAAATCTCCCCAGGGCTATCATGAGATTCCTCCTGACCAGGTGGAATAAAAGACTGGTGTCGATTGCGACGCTTGCGATTGCGGTTCTTCTTGCGTTTGGAGGACTTGGAGGGTTTGCCAGCAGCATTATCAGCGGGGGTTTCTAAGCGGGTCTTGTTGGCTGTAGCCTCGGCGACGGGTACCGCACCAGTCCCTGGGGCCCGACCGCCGCTCATTGGGCCATAGCTCGCGTTGTTATCAGCGGAGGGTGGGTAATCGGTGCGCTGTGGACGTTTTCTTGGGCTGGACGAATGCGAGGAACGAGGCGGTCGGGAGGCCGCTGTGCCAGGTGTCGGGATCATGGGCGGATCCATTGTGACAGCCTCAATAATTGGGTCGCGATAGAGGTTGGGGGTCTCTAGTACAGCACAACTGTACTGTAGTGGAGGAGAACTTTTCAGCAGTTCATCAACCAATGGAGCCAGGCCAACGCAAACCGGGTTCTGGATCACAGGCTAAAGACTCGCATACAGGCTACCAGCTTTGCATACGATCTTATTGGTGCTGATGATCACGGGGGAACCGACATCGGCATGGTCGACAGCACTGAAGGGAGCTGCAGCTTAGGTTGGGAGGATGACGCGGGTGGCAAAACCAAAGTGGAACATTCCCGGGATAAAACAAGGCAAGTAAAATCTTAAATTCAGATATAAAACAGAAGGAACAAGTTGACACTTTACTTGTATAATGGTGCAACAGGAGAAGAAAGGAGAGGTCCATACAAAGAGAAATCCCGAGGTTCCTCTCGAGGCAGATGAGATTCTGGGATTCCATGGGATAGCCCTGCAGACTTTACCCAAAACGGGATGGATGAGGTCAGCACAACTATAAAATTCAACTGTACAACCTATTGGGTATCACCTATAGTAAAGCAAAAGAAGAGCAAAATAAAAGCAAAATAAACTTGAGCTCCTTGATATTGCCCGTAACCTTGGACCCTGGCATAAGCTGAACAACACGTCCTATACAGACCTTGACAGCACTAACTGTTCAGGCTTTCGCGGGTAAAGGGTCCAGCTAGCAAATGATAGGGGATCATGAGATATCGAAATTTCCTAGCTACTAGATACACTTTGTCTGATAATCAACAGCAGACCTACCTAGCTTACTATGGCAGGAATTCTGTGCCACAAGAGCCATAAGCCGATCCGCAATGTCAAGTGCAAATCCATCATCATTTATATCTCGCTCATCTGATACCACTCTTATCATGCTGCCCTTTAACCCGGAGCGTAGGGTATCAGCAAGGGCAGCATCGGCATCTGCATCTGCAAAGGCTGACCCTGCTGTCCCAATGCTACTCACTCCTCCCCTAGGCAGCCACACCTCAACCATCTCTTGGTCCTGGGTAAACCGGTCTAGTTTATCGAGAATGAAAGCCCCGACTTTCCGACATTCAGCTGCAGAGGTACGCATCAGAGTCACAGTCGGATTATGGACTAGTAGTTCGCGGTCACGGTACTGGTGTGGCACCGTGTCGACCGGACCAAAGTTGACCATGTCCGTAGCTCCAACGGAAATGATATTAGGTATTCCGCGCTTGAGCGTCCTCTCCAATCGGCTATTTTCGCAACTCATAGTCCCTCCAGCAATGATATCGCAGATCTCGGTCGTGGTGATGTCCAAGATGGCGTCTAGACGGCGCTCCTCCACCAATCGTTCCATAGCCTTTCCCCCATGACCAGTCGCATGAAAAACGTAAACCTCTACAGAATAGTTGTCTTCCAAGTGACGTCTCACGCGATCCACACATGGGGTAGTTACACCGAACATGGTAATACCCACTCTAGTCTTCTTGTCTTCTCGCTGATTGTCTTGCGCACTCTGGGTCTGACGTTCACCCAGCCTATGTTGATATGTCGATGCCATGCCGAACATGGCGCCAGCTGCATTCCCCAGCACTTCGCGGAGGAGCCGATTGGTGCCTGCGATGTCCACGACCGAGTACATCAAGGTGATATCGCATTCGCCTATCATCGGCCCTGTGTTCCCGGACGCGACTGTGCTGACGACTAGTTTGGGCAGGCCAAGAGGTGCAGCTGTCCTCATTACAGCGGTGATCAGACTGGTTCCTCCACTACCGCCCGCACCGATAATTCCGTGGATCTCCGTCGTTCGCACTAAGTCTGTGACACACTTAATGGCACAGCTGATGAGAAGTTCAATCACTTCTCCCCGGGATTGATTCAATATCCCGGTGCTGTCGCCAGATGCATACTTGGACAGAAGGTCAGTATGACCTATGGTGATGGCATCGTCCGTAATGACTTGACGGCCGCAGTCAATCAAGGTGATCTCTAGAGGGGTCGAGAAGCGGGTGGCATTCTGCTTCAGCTGGTTGTAGAGATATAGGGTTTCTGCAAGCTTGGTATCGAGGGTCCCCAGAAGGATGATATGTGGCATCGTGAGGCTCAGGGTGAACTTTTGGAAGACTGTGAAATACCTACGGAATTATCTGACTATGAATAGGTATTTTACTGAGCTGTGACATATGCGTGCCCCAAGTGCCTCGCGTTATCATGATTTGATGGTGTCATGGTCGAAAAACAGGATTGAAAATTATCTCCGCCTTCTCCGAATATCTCCGCTTTCAACTACACCCTCGTCCAGCCGAACTCTCAAGCATCATATTGTACATCCTGGCTGTATATTGGAGCGGATATCACTATGTCCGCTCACCGTCCACGTCAGCGTCTTCCGATCTCCTGTGAGCCTTGCCGCGTTCGCAAGATCCGATGTCCTCGGGATGGCCCCGCTTGCGCTACTTGCATACGGCGTCGTGTTCCTCTAGAGCAGTGTGTTTATAGTACCAGGAGACAACCCAATACACCTCCACAGCCACAGCGACAGCCGCAGCAATCCCAGTCACAGGCTCGGCCACTGGAAAATCGCTCGTCGTCCCCTGACACCCCTCTCCAACCACAATATCAAGGTGTCGCTGGAGAACCTAATGCTGATCTGGTAGCTCGGGTAGAAAAGCTGGAGCATTTGTTGCACGCAAAGAACCAGCAGCAAGAAACAGCGCTACATTCACTAAATGTTCCCCAATTGGATTCAGAGATAGAAGGGAGGCGGAGATCAGAGCCAGCGACAGCCTCTGCAACGGGTACACTCATCCCATCCGCTTCAGGACACGTGCGCTTCCTCCCCGTTACCTCCGGCCGGCGTATTTTTCATCGAGTCTCTCAAGAGGGTCCCTTTCCAAGCCAGGAGAGTGCCATGATTGACACGCCCAGCGGACCATATCCTTTCGGCGAACATGATGCTGAAAACAAACATAATCTCTTAGCAAAGCTCCCCCCGACGGAGTACTGTAACCAACTAAAGGATCTTTATTTCCAGTCAATTGCGCCCGTAGGTTTTCTTACTCCCGATATCATCAGGATGACTGAAAAGTAACCCAAATAGCTGTTTCCTATCTTACATAGCCCTACGTTCCACGAACGGTATCGTCGATTTTCCAAGGATCCAGATCAGGCTTCACTAGCATGGCTTGCTCTCCTCTTTACTATCCTGGGTACGGCTGTCCTCGCACTGGAAAACGACAGCCCTCTGCTTAAGACTCTCAGCCGCAAACTTACCCCTTGGGATCGAGTCACAGAGCTCTCGGAGCGGTATTATACCGCAGCGATGAAATGCCTCGAAGCAGATCGCTATCTCTGGCGCCATAACGTTTCTACAGTGCAGGCACTGCTAAACCTTATCTATGGGATTCACCATAGCCATGGCCAAACATGGACTCTTCTGGGGCTGGTTTATCACCTGGCGCTCTCGATCGGTTGTCACGTTGACCCGGCCACGTTTTCCTTGGATATTGTCGAAGCCGAGGAGCGTCGTCGCTGTTGGCTAGGCCTGGTCACGCTGCTCTGTAACCAAAATATGGCCATTACTGGGTTAGACATCTACCAGTCAGTGTTCTCGTCGCGTGTCCTGCCCCCAGCCGAGGTGTGCGATGAGGATGTCGTCCAGGGACAACCAGGGCCGATTGCAACCTCGGTAGGCATCAATCCCATCTCGTATCTGATCCGAAAATCTCGCCTCTTTCAGATATCGTCGGAGATCTGTGATCCTGTTTTGGCTGCACGGGATCCGACAGCCCCCCTCCAACGTCTGGACGCGGCCATCCGAGCAGAGTTAGATCCACTAGAGGAGAGTTACGCCTCAATGCTTAGGAGCAACTCTTCGGTTATTCATACCAATCTGCTGCTCAGTTTTGCCCATCATCTGGTCCTCATCCTCCATAGTAATATACTGAATGAAGGGACCTTTTGTCTACCGCAGCATAGCTGGTCGAAACAGCGCTGTATGAAAAGTGCACAGCGCGTCCTGGAACTACATGCCGACTTCCATCGACTGCCCCAATTCAAGCCCTTCTACTGGTATATCCGTGGCCGGGGTGCTTTTCATGCTTTTCATGCTGCTTTCGTCTTGGTGCTTGCCCTTTCTATAGAGCCCCAAGAGCCTTGTACATCGAATATGGTGCGGCTGCTGCACGAGTGCCATTCTCGGCTCGAGGCGTCAAAGGCGCAAAGTCAGCTGTGCACCCGGACAGCAACGATTCTCGGCCAGATGCTGTAAGTTGAGTACCGTGTGACGTATGATTTAGTTAACACTGACGGACAACTCTCTAGGTCTAGCAAGTGGATGACTGCCTCGGGACTGGTACCGGATGGACTACAAAGTGCAGTATCGCAGGGCTCCAAGTCAAATAGCCAGATGAATTCCATCGGCCAGCCCGCAGATCTTAGTAATGGCCATGCATTCACCTCGGAGGGTGTCGGGTTCCCCAGTCTAGTTCGGCAGATTGAGCCGCAGCAATGGATCAACCCAGTGAACATGGATTGGGACCAGTGGGATTTTATTATGAATTCAATGGGAACTACATCTTGATTCGAACAGACTGGTGTCCATTACGTGTTACGAATTAGCAGATTGAGAGCTGCATAGAATCAATATATGACATGATATGATGAGCTTTTTACTTATTGGCAGTTCAATCTAACTTGTCTGGTCCTCATCTGAGCACAGACAGTTTGTAGGACGGCAGATCATAGAATGTTCGAGTATTCAAGCCCCAATATTCATGTTGGCTTAACCCGGAGGCATTTGAGAATGTACATAGGACTATTGAAATGGGCAATTTCTTCTCCAATGATTTCCTATCAGTAAAGATAGACTGATTATGATCCCCCCCTTATGTCCGCGGTTTCCGCGCTTGGATTGTATCTCCGCCGTCCGCATCCGCGCTCCAGAAGTCCGCCCCGCCTTTTGCCATACGCACGATGAATCATATGTTTGGTAGCTTCGAGTGGGATAAGAGAAGAATATCTCTCCCATTTTAATCTACATAAACAATTGATTCAACTACAAATATCCATTTCCTTACTATGGCGCCACCCACCTCCCGCAGCGAGATTCTCGCCAACCTACGCCGTCAGATCGAAGACGGGAAACCCATTGTTGGAGCCGGAGCGGGTACGTATTAGGTTCCACCTATTCCTCTTAGCTCTCTACCGATCAGTTTAAATAATAACGCACCATCAGGTATCGGTCTGTCCGCAAAATCGGTCGAGGCCGGCGGCGCAGACCTAGTCATCATATACAACAGCGGTCGCTTCCGCATGGCGGGGTGCGGAAGTCTTGCGGGACTAATGCCGTACAGCAACGCCAACGAAGTGGTGGTCGAAATGGCCGCGGAAGTCATTCCTATCGTTCAGAATATCCCCGTAATTGCGGGTGTCTGTGGTACGGACCCATTCAAGCACATCCCGCGATTCCTGAAGCAGCTGCGGGAATTGGGCTTTGGTGGCGTGCAGAATTTCCCCACGGTTGGACTGATCGATGGCAACTTCCGTGCTAACTTGGAGGAGACTGGGATGGGGTATGGTAAAGAGGTGGAGATGGTACGGCAGGCGGCTGAGTTGGATTTTTTGACGACGCCTTATGTTTTCAATGTCGAGGAGGCTGAGGCTATGACCAAGGCTGGGGCGGATATCCTCGTGGCTCATATGGGTCTGACTACTTCTGGGCTGATTGGGGCGAAGACCGGAAAAACATTGGAGCAATGTGTTGTCGAGGTCCAGGCAATTCGGGATGCGGCGGTGCATATTAATAAGGATATCATCGTGCTGTGTCACGGTGGGCCTATTGCTGCTCCAGAAGATGCGAAATTCGTCTTGGAAAGGGTGAAGGGCTTACATGGTTTCTATGGGGCTAGTTCAATGGAGCGACTTCCTGTTGAAGTAGCCATCAAGAACACCACTGCCGAGTTCAAAAAGATTGCCTTGAAGAGATAATTTTCTATCGGTCTGATCCACTCACTGAGTTGACGGCAAGGCAAATGAAGATGTCAAGATAGACTAGTCAAGTACGAGCTAGAGAAGCCAAGCCAAGCTGGCTATAAGGCACGATTCAATGACTTTAGGGATTAAAAAGTAAAGAAGACTAGCAACAGGGAACAGACTAGGACTCTAGGAGTGTGTTGTAGTGGCCTCAGGCATCAGCCCCTTAGTAGCTAAATAGGAGATGTGCTCCCTGTAGGAATCAACTCTCTCCTCTCTTCAGTCCCTACATTGCAAAGCTCTTAACTTAGAGAAAGCCAAAGATAGCACTCATACTGTCCGCGCGAAGGATGTCTAAGATTCTGCGATGCCAATGGCCGCTACGCCAATAATGGCAAAAGGCCAAGCAAAAAGCCACAACATAAAATGTTTCTCACCCACTTTCCCCCACTTCTTGTAAGCGAATTCCTCTCCCAAGGTCAGCATGGAATCTAACTCACTGGCCCCAGCCTTGTACATCACGGGATTAGGATCGCAATATCCCCCCTATCTGTTGAGGCCCGAGGACCTTGAGAAACTTACAGCGCGCTTTCACGATGTGAGCCGTCCGGGGTAAGCTGTTCAACTTGGATTACTCTGCAGAGAATGTCTAATTATTTGTTAGAATCAAAAAGCTTCTCCGGCTCAACCGCTCAACGGGTATTGAGACCAGATCTGCAATTCGACCGTACGGGGTAGGATTTGCAACGCAAACGGATGCACCTTCAATCAGTGAAATCGACCAGTTCTTCCGTGAAGCCGGGGTCAATCTCGCCGTTGAAGCATGTAGGAAGGCTCTCGAAGAAGCACATGTGACTCCCGAGCAGATCACTCACACGATCGCGGTTACCTGTACCAACCAAGGTAACCCGGGGTACGACTTTATAGTAGCCCGTAAATTGAACCTCCCATCCAATGTCGATCGCATGCTTCTCCACGGCGTTGGGTGTGCGGGTGGGCTGTCCATATTGCGGGCCGCAGCGCAGATAGCCGGTGGGGCAAGCCTGCGACGGAAACCGGCTCGCATTTTGGCATTCGCTTGTGAGCTGTGTACGCCCAATGTGCGACGATATCTGTCGTTGGCAGAGGTCACTCCCGATTCGGATCCAGCCAACATTGCAGCGGTCTTGTTCTCAGATGCCGCGGCCGCTTTTGTTCTCTGTAATGAGTATGCTATAGCTCAGGACGATCAAGTCACTCCTCAGTACAGGCTTCTGGAATGGGGTCATGATTTGATTCCGGATACCGCTGAGCATATGTCATTTTATGCGGATGTGAATGGTCTGTTGATCGCCATTCGCTATTTTAGAAAGCACTCTAAACTAATCATCTGGACCAACCTTCGGTTGCATACATATATAGGTTATCAAGCTGCCCTCGATCGAGATATTCCTCAATACACCAAACATGCAATCGGGCCAATGTTTGAGAGACTTCTTCCCTCGTATGAGGAACAAATAATGTCTGAACCAAGATCAGGGGGGCAACTACTAAGATCGCTAGGGATCCGCGATTTCGACTGGGCCTTGCATCCCGGGGGAAAGTCAATCATAGATGGCGTAGCTCAAATTTTGCAATTGTCTGAAGATCAACTACAGGTAAGTCGGGAGATATATCGCACACGGGGAAACTCGTCTAGCGCTTCAGTCTTGGTTGTCTTGGATCAACTTCGCTCACAGAGCAACAAAGAGCATGTTGTTGCTACCTCGTTTGGTCCTGGTCTAGCAATTGAAATGGCACTGCTGAGAAGGTGCTCGGATGAGTTATAACTGTTTGACACTAATAGGATCCCTATTAGCGATTGTTCTCTTAGGCGTGGGTAGATGAATAGATAGATATGCTTATTTACTAGATCTAGAGATTAAGCAGCTTTATCTTCCTATTAGGTTATAAGACCTCCTTCTAAGAACACTTGGTGATCAAAGGTTATACATAGAAAATCCTCTTGCACATATGCTAGAAAAGACCTCTAAAAAGACCATCTAAAAAGACACCACATGGGCGCAAATGCGGCCGACTATCCTTGTATGTGTATGAAAAGGATAATTTAGACCGAGAGGTACAAATCCCATGTGTCTGAAGTTGTTGAAGGTACTGTTCACCTTTTCATTCGAAGCTCCTGGACTTCTCAAAAATTATCCAACATCTGCCTGGGTGTCTGTCCAGCTCCATTAGGCTTTTCCATAGATGCTCCAGCATTGACCAAGACTTGAATCAACTCATCTCGTGTCCCTTTCTTCCTATTCCCATATCCTCTCCCGCGCATTCGCCCCCTTTGAACCCTGGTTTCAAATCTTTTTTTGATAATCTGCCCTTCGATCAGCTCGTGAAGAGCAGTACTACCCTGGTGATCACTCTTGACAATATCGGCACCCTGAATAATGAGATGCCGAACGGCATCAATCTGTTCCACAGTCTTCACCAGATAATGTAGTGAAGTGTGGCCGTCGTCATCAGTCTCATTGACATCAACAAACTTGAGAATTTGATCCAGTATGACAGGAGCGATGGACTCTTCTATGGATTGCATGCAAAGCATGTGGAGGATATTACGTGCTTTGTTGTCGCACAAGCGGGGATTGGCCCCGTTCGCCAGCAAGATCATGATCAAGCTTGTTACTTCTTCAACAGTGCCGCCATAAGATTTAAATGACCTAATCGCCTCGCCAAGAACAGTCATGCCTCGATTGTCGCGGGAGTTTAGTGTTTCGACAGATGGATGTGCATCCAAAAGGACTTGAACAACTTGAAAGACTTCTCGATACTCAATGTGGGTGTAGAGTGCGTAATGAAAAGCCGTAGCACCATACTGGTCTCGCGAGTCAACAGTTGCCGGTCTCGCGTCAAGTAGAGTCTTCACAGTGGCAATCATTCGTGAGATAATGTCATCCGCATTATCCTTCTCTTCACGATGATTTCGAACACCTATCATGGCCCAGTGCAGCGGAAGTCGACCTTTATCATCGGCTATCGTCACCATGTCTGCAAGCTCAACATCGCCCCGATGATCAATCAGTGCTTGCATGCCTTCTAGGTTCCAGAATAGAGCAGCGATATGTTATAGTGTCACTTTCTTACAAGAGTTCATCATACAGGATGGACCAAGCCACACCTCGCGAGCATGAACGTCAGCCCCCTTGGCAATAAGATGCCCGACCATCTCGTAGCTTGCGTAAGAAATTGCCATCCCGAGGACAGTACTTCTTAACTGAGATGCTGCTTCCGACCCTCCCGGCAAAGTCTTATCCCAATCTCCCTCAAAAACACTAGACTTGGACAAAGAGCATCCATTATCCAAAAGCCAGTAGATAAATTTCTCTGTGCGCTCATGATGCTCGCGCGCCCTCTGCCTGGCAGTAACCGGCGTCTCCCCAGCCTTAGGGTATGGCATTAGTTCACCCGCCTCTCCCAGCGCTTGAGCGCCGCAATATAAAGGCGTCCTACCACCGGGGTCCCGTTGCGTTCAAGATCCTAGTGGAGGGTCGTGGTTCATTAACCATAGAACAAGCTCTTGATCGGCAGTAGCGCAGGCGTCATGAATAAAAGAGACATTCAAGCGGCGTGTATATTCTTCCAAGGGCTCAGTCAGCGACGTATCTGAAAGATACATTTTGATTAGTATACGCAATGCATCGAAACTGCGATATCCAAAAGCAATGCTGAAAGGATTATCATAACTCCCGTCGTAGGCTTGCAAGAATACCCGGGAGTGTGGGCTATTATTGTAAGAGTTCAGAGCCGCTGTGTCGTTGTGCACAATAGTTGATTGCAGCAGAATGCGATAGGGTGCTTCGTACACCGGCGAGCCATCTGTGTCGTGGAAGATGGGCAGTTGACCTTCAAAATCAGGATGACACTGGTGAAAATTCCTGTATGCCATTATGCTCGGGGAATAACAGTGGAAACTGAGAAGATTTTGATTGGGAAGAATGAAGTGGGAGGAGTACAGCAGCCTGTAACCGCTAGTGCGCCGGTATACATTTTGCCAGCACAGCCCGGGTTGAAATAACATTGTTAACAAGTGGTCTTAGGAGGTCTATAACATAATAGTAAATGAGTTACCGGTTCTACAGATTTAGATAGAATGTGCCTGATCGATGAGGCTGAGAATTTAGGCAAACATAACTAACTACACAACATCATTGTTACGCCTTCAATCTTTTTTTCTCTAACTCTATTCCTGACACAACTCTATCTGAACTTTCATCTCTCATTATTCTGTTTTCCAAGCTTCTTTTCTTCAATTCCCTCGTCAAAATGTCTATGCTCGGATTCTCTGAGCTTTACATAGGTACAGAAATTACCTTCACCGCACCCTCACTCCAAAAGTGGGTTATCGAGGAGAAGCTCACCGAGGATGTCCAACAAATGTCAAAGTGGGAACTTGATGGTGGCGGTGGGCCTCCCTTCGCTGTGTTCAAATATCTATGCCACAGTGCGACAGACAACGACAAGAAGGCATTTTTGAGAATCTATTTCCAGATTCCCATCGCCGGAACTGAGTTCCAACGCCCTGAGGTTCGACAACGACAGGCCCAGGCCGTTCCGCCACGAAGACATCGTGAGCTAGACGTGCTAAAGGATTTGAAACTACGACAGTGTTCCGTGGTCCCAACTCTCCTCGCGTATAAAGAAGCAAAACAGGGCAATGATGGCGTGGTCCCAGATGGATACATTACATATGTTGTGTGGGATAAAGTTCCTGGGAAGTCACTCAGTCAGGATGAAGTCTGGGATCCTAAATCAGGTCCATTACGTGAGGCTATCCGCGCAAAGTTCCGCGATATCTGGGAGTATGTTGAGCCCCCCCCCCCCTTTTAACCAGTCGAGAGTAAAACTAACAGACCCAAGAGAGTTGAGACGTTACGGATGGGAGCCAGGGATGCCTGGACTGGAGAATATCATCTATGACGAGCTTACAAAGACGATGTATATGATATCTCCTATATACCCAGTGCTAAACAGAATAGGCTAACTATCTTTAGGCACATTGCAGGTTTTCGAAACCCCGCCCCCCTTGACCCCGAACATAAATTTACCAACAAGACCTTTGTCGACTGGGGCTTGGCTATACCACCCAGTAACGCCGGTTGGGAAAATGACAGTACTAAGTGGGCTTGGTGATCGAGATGAATGTCCATTGATTTAGCTAAAGTGCCACACTTCCAATGAATCTAATCTTTGCTGCAATTCTAGAAGGATAAGCTAATTTACATATGGATTCTGCCAATAATTGATTAGAGAGAGTTCCCGCTTAATTCACATCGATGGGGATAAGCCATGTGACGGTCTAGAAGAAGGAAGGGCAGGGCTAGGCATCGGACTGAGCATCGAACGTCAGAGGTCTGAGGCATTTATACCAGACGACTAGAAACTGGTGTCTCGTTCCTTTTCCTTTCCCCTTCGCTTTCTCGACAACAACCTTCTAACACTCGAACTTGATCCCTCGACATTAAGTTCCTGCCAATATTGCTTGGCGAGTAATGAAAGTAAGTTGCATTCCAGGCAAAGTCTGTGCATGAATAAGATCATATACTGACCTTGTTGACACTGTCCTCAGTATCGAAATACCCAAGCATAGTGTCATTTGAGTCAACCTCAATCCGTCCCAACGTTCCCTTCCTACGTGCTACAGTAAGCAAAATTCCCATGGGTGACAGTAGGCAACTCATACTGACTCCTAGTTTAGTACGAAGAGTTGAAAACATGACCACGACCCGCGTCCGTGCAAAACAAATCATACAAGCCCCCCCTACCTCCCTTGAACGTGGGAACTCACAAGACCACCTCTTCTGCACTTCATAATCTGGAATATGTCGGGACTTTGAGCCCGTGGCCCAATTTTAAGAGCTCAGTCCAAGCAATGTACACTGCCCAAGCGTTCAGTCGCAGCTCTACGGCTGCTGTTAGCCCCGGCCTACACAATGTAGATCCTGAGATCGTTTGTGTTGGGGATGAACATGGCCTCCAAGGCCGCTTCCAACAGGCCATAGGCCAAGTACTTGGAGCGGCCTTGGAGGCCCAGGCAGTAAATTTACATTTTGCGGACTTTAAGTGCTCCGGTCTCCGATACCAGAATATTCCAGATGTTGTGTTATTAAGTACCACCGTTCAAGGTAGAGAGGAGCTAAGGCTTGTAGGGGAACTAAAGGTTCCATGGGTCCTTCCTCATCATTCTCTAAGCCGCGCGTATAGCCAGCCTCAAAGACTAAGGCGTTTTCTGGGTCAGCCTATCCTCTATATGGGCGAACTTCAGTCTGCATTTGGTTTTGTTAGCACATACAACGAGACCATTTTCCTCCGACAGACCCAGCTGGCTAGTGGGCAGTGGCATATAGAATACTCACCAGTTATCTATTCGACTGATGCGTATGAACCCTCCAGCTCTCAGGGTCATGGTTCTGGTCCTTTTGTCTCTATGAGACAGTGTATGTTTTATGTAGCCTCACTTGCGAGCGGACAAGGCCCTGTAAATAACCAAACACCGGCGGCGCAATGGGTGGTGCGGTCTTGAATATCAGAAGCAATGACAATTATGGAGTGCATCTGGGTCTTCCGTAAAACATAAGAGGTGTTAAAGCCCGATCTATATTATATATACCTAATTTAGAATTATATATTCTGGTTTCGATAGTCTGGAGAACTACTGCCGATCTCCGAAGTGAGATATGTGGCTCTTGTACGGTGTGAGGGTTGGATGGAAGGGAAATAAAATGGAGGGCAAAAAAAGGCAGAAGGAAGCAGTTAGTCTACCCCATCCCTGTGGGCAAATGCTGGAGATGTCAGAAAAAGAGATAGGCTTTAGTTAGGATGCAACGAGTATAGAATCGAGGACGGAGGATTGTATTACATTGTAAGCGACAAGTCAAATATAAAAAGAATAAAGTAGAAATGGATTATTACACTGCCATACCAGAAGTACAGGTCATCACTCGTAAGACATCAAAGCCATGGTAAATACACATCGGGCTAACACATTGTCTTAGAAAGAACACATGAGAAAATCAAATAGAAACAGGAAAATAGAAAGAAAATAACTCCACATCTCACGGTCATCGATCTTGCAATGACCGGACGTTAAATGACCCAGACGCCATATCGCCAAACGGCAAGAGAAGAAAAAATACTAAGATTAGACAATAAAAGCAAGGATGTAGCAAGCGTGCATGTAAAGATGGGAGCAATCATGATCGGAGTGTGACGCCTCAGATCACATTGCTCATGTCCATCATAGATGACGGTGCCACACTGTGGGCAATACTTTGAGTAATGCTGTGGACTGACCTGGAAGCATCGATGGACATGCGATCGCCGCTCATCATCCTTGATACTTTCTTGTCTTTGCTGGGGCGGGCGATGAGGACCTGGGCGGGACAGACGACTTCCTCGTCCTCACCCTCGCCCACATCATTGCCCTTTTTGACAACGAGAGGGAAGAGCACAATGCGCACAATGGACTGTTGAGCTTCGAGCTCGCTATTGTCATTTGTCAGACCACTGCGCTCATTCATTAGGGCTGCGTTGAAGTACACTTGGCGTGCAAGGTCGCCATTGGTGTCATATTCAGGCTGCAGAGGCGGCAACATGATGAATTCAGCCAGCTGGGTACGCATCTCCAACGACAGGCTGACTGCTACCCGCATGATTTTGCGGAGGTTATCCAGGAGCTGAGATTCAACATGAGACGGAGGAGGGAGGACCTGCGATAGGGTTTGGAAGATCTCCAGAGTGACGGCCTCCGTATCGCTCTCACGTTGCGCAGCAAAGGCTGGTCGCCGGGACAGCAGTGTAAGAGTGGTGGCTCGCCAGCGATGCACAGCACGGGTTGGGCCAACCTCGCCCAATTGTTTCTCAAGAGACTTGAGTTTTTGACGTTGCTCCCGGTCCATACCGAAGAGATAACGCGTGAAGATGTATTCCCAGACCATCGTCATGACCACCGACATGAATACATCGCGGCGGCGGACACGATCAGATAGATAGGCATCGGGATCGGAGCCGTCGAGGAGGGCATTGTCGAAACGGTCAGCGATCTTTTCGTCCTGCAACTCACTGAGTGGGCGGCAGCGACGCTTGTCATTGTGCTTGGAGAAGCGCACAACCCAGGATTGGACATGGCCACACAGCTTCTGGCAGGCAGCCTCGAAGTATTCTTCACCACGGAAGACAAGGGCATTGTCATGTACCGAGGCTGCGATTTGTTGTTGGAGCTCCTTGACCTTATCGCGAGCCTCCTCAAGTTCGGTGCGCAGACGGCGCAATTCAATGTCCTTTTGTGCAAGAGCCGACTCAATCTCTTGTCGAACTCGATCCTCCATTTGGGACGAGAGTTGAGTGTGTCGCGATTGTAATTCGGCAAGTTCGCGTGTGGACGACTCGCGTACATTGGTGACCTCGGCTGCGTGGGCGGCGGCGAGAGCAGAGTTGGATGCGGCTAGCCCCTCATTCTCTTGAGTCACACGATTCATCTCCTTCTGCAGCCATTCCACCGAGTTCTTCAATTGTTCCACCTCCGATTCCCGATCGCGTAGATCGCCGTCGCGGGTGTTGAGAGCACGGTCGCTCTTTCGACGAGCGACGCTGGTATTCCGAAGCTTATCTTCAGCTTCATCACGGGCGGCGATAAGTAGACGGTTTTCAGAGATGAGCTGGTCGAGGCGGGTTTCGATCTCTTGCAAATGTTGCATGCTGCGACGGCGGCGGACACTAGGCGGTCGGCTGGGCGACCGTGGGGAGTTGGGCGTCTCACCCCATCCCTCCTATGGAAGTTAGTAAACAAAAACAAAACCACGATTGTAAACAATTGCAAAGAAAAATAATTAAATTGATAACTTACATAGACATCCGACATATTCCGCAGCGGACGCTTGCCCTTGTCGGTGACGGGGTCGTAAGAGGAGGAAGATGGGAGCTGATCGAGATCGAGATTCGAAGGCTGGGAGTCTAGCGCTCGACTAGCCGCCCGCAGATCGCCGCTAATACTGCGATTTGTACGACGTAATTTTCCACTGCTGGTGCTGGGCTTCAGAATCCCTTGCTCGGGTGTTTTTGAAACTTCGGGTTCAAGCCCCTCTTTCTGGTTCTCTGTAGGCCAAGCTTCTCGATCAAAGGCATTGTCTGTGAATTTCCGGACGGGTGTCTGAGGTCGAGGTAAGACATGTTCGGGCTTCATCTCCAAGCGGGGCGTCCCGCGACGAGCCATGGTCACTCCATGGGCATCCCGTGGTTCTTGTTCCGCGATTGTATCAAGCGGAGTTCGGGGTCGCACATAATCGTCGGTCGGTCCGAAGAGCGATCGAGGAGGGGATGGGGCACGAAGAGCTTGTAGAGATGGTTCTTCCAAGTTCCATGTCCTGGGTGTGTGCTGGCGCCGACCATGGATTGATGGTGATCGGCGTAGTCCACACAGTTCCTCTCCAGCTTCCGCCGGGGGTGGAAAGCGCGTAGGAGAAGAAGGTTCCTCGGCATCAGTTCGCTCATTAGAGGGCTCCCTTGACGATGACAAGGGCGCATCCAGGGACTTTTCCCCACACGTCGGAAGTTCTGGCTCTCTGATTGATTCATCCTCCGTAGCAGTAGGAGTGTCGGAGTGAGCTTTCAGCTCCGAGATCGCAGATTCAATTTGTCTTTCGAGACTGCTAGGCAGCTCCGAAGTGAAATCATCGGCAATTTCTTTGGTTTCAGTGGTCGCTAGGGGTGCTTCCGAGACAGGGATCGCGATATCGCGATTCGCTTCCAAGTCCGCTGTTGTCTCTTCCTCAGCACTATCTTTTAGCGACGGTGTTCGCTGGTCCAAAGCTGATCGCCGAAATCCGGAACGCTCGAGGCCGGGAAATAAGTTGGCAATCTTAGATCCACCGGGAGTAGTTGTTCGAGCAGGCGGCTCGATCTCTTTGTCATTTGAGGGTTCCAGTAAAGGCTCCTCGACTTCCGGAGCAGCTTGCTGTGACTGCTTCTTGTTCTTCTTGGCCTTCTTCTGGTCTTTTCTGCTCGCTGGCAAAGCCCAAGCATCTTCTTCTGCAGCTTCGTTTGTATCTTGCGAAATTTCGGGGAATGAAGAATCAACAAATTCTCCAATAATCTCCGGCTCAGGAGGTGGAATGTCCGGCTCAGGGTCAGAATTCGTTTCCCTTAAACGCTGGGACTCTTCAAACTTAGCCTGCCAGTCAATTGCCGGCCAGGCTTCTTCGTCATAGGACGACTTTTCGTCTGGCACTTCTGGGTCCTGTGCCTTAGATTGGTCCTCTTCGAAAGCCCCAATGGTAGCATGCTGATCCGCATCGATCGCGTTTTCAGCCGCTGGCTCAGTATCCAAGGATTTGTTAGCCTTTTGAGCCTTCTTAGACTTCTTCTTCGAGGCCTTGCGTGAAAGAGGAGTTTCCTCACTGACGGGCTCTTCATCGGGTCGCGTAGGCTCAACCTGAACTTCTAGGTTGGGTATAGGCTGATCTTCGATTGTAAGGAGAGTCTCCATTGACAGATCTCGCTCCGTCGTAGGCTGAGCCTCTGCAACATGGTCAGTTCCCTTGGGAATCTCTTGCTCCACAGCAGGCTCTGTCGGCTGGATCGCAGATTCCGTGGGCAACTCAGCCACATCAGCCTGAGGCTCGTCTTGTTGTTGAGTCGAGACTTCTTCGGTAATGCTGGCATTCTTTTTGGCTTTGCGCTTGTCCTTTTTTGACATCTTCTTGGACAGAGCTGGCATCACTTCAGGTTCTCCAGGTCGCTCCTCAACAAGGCTATCGACGACCTCGAGATCAGCTGTCTTCTCGAGATCCCGTGCATCGGCCCCAACGTGGGCTTCATCTTCCTGGTCGTTCTTCTCAGCAGAACCCTCGAGGTCAACGGGCTCATTGTTGGTATCTGGGTCAGTGGGCCCCACAGGTGAGGGTGTATCGAGTGTGTCGTGAGAGACGACTGCTTCATTTGTCTCGCCTTCTGAAGGTTGCTTGTCTTCCGATACTATGCCAATTTCCTCAAGTGCCGGAGTTTCGATGCTGAAAGCATCGGGCTTAGGAACCTCCTGGATTTCTGAGGGGCCAATGGACTCAGACTCGAGAATAGTCTCAGTCGGGGTCTCCTCAAGAGCCTCCCGTTCAATAGCAGCACCCGTAATCGCAGGCTCAGTAAGGGGAACAAGCTCCGTTGGGATCTCATCAAAAGTCGCCTCCGGTACAGGAATCTCTGTAGGTGCAGGCTCGGTGGTGGGGACATGCTCATCAGTTAGAGGGAAAGCCGGCTCAATTACTTCTTGCTTTGCTTGCTTCTTGGCCTTTTTCTTGTCTTTCTTTGACGCTTTCCGAGTCACAGTATCGGCCGCGGCTGGCTCCTCGGCTGGTTCTTTTGTATACTCCTCCGGTTTGTCCTCAAATTCGAGAGGTTCCGTAGACTTGAGAGCCTCAACAGGCTGCTCCAGGACATTTTCTTTGGGCTCAGAAGTTGCCAATTCTGGTATTTCGTCTTGGCTCTTTTCGGCCTCGGGCTGAGACTTGTCCTCAGTCTCTGAAGGCTGTGGCTCTTGAACGATAGGCTGCTCTACCACTTCCTCTAGAGCTTGAGGAATGATAATCGAGGGCTCTTCGGGTTCAGGTTGTGACTCGACGGGCTTTTCTTCCTCGAGAAGGGCGGCAGCAGCAGCTGCTGCTGCAGCCTTCTTCTTCTCTTTCTTGCTCATCTTCTTGGGGACACTCATAGATTCGCCTTCGGGCTTAGTGGAGACTTCAGGCGACGCTTGTTCGCTAGGTTGCTCGGCATCTGAAATTGCGGCCGGGGTTTCGGCAGCTTCCTCAGCCGGCTTGTCTCCCTCCTCGATTTTCGATTCAGTAAACGGAAGTTCAAGGGAACGCTCTCCACTTTCGATTTCTTGTATTGGAACATGCTGTTCAGTGTCTTCGGAAGGCGTTACAAGATCCTTGGCAGCCTCCTCAGTGGCATCGAGAGGCTGTACTGTAGATGCCTCTGTGCTAGCAACAGCTTCATCTTGCGTGATAATTTCGGCAGAAACTGACTCCGTTGAAATCTCGGCCTCTTGAACAGATGCTTCCGCCGCCTCGGGGGCTAGCTGCTCCTTAGGCCGGGGCTCAGCTTCGGGTTCTTGAGCAAGAATCGATTGGCGTTGCTTCTTCTTGTCCTTCTTGGCCTTCCGCTTCTGCGCAGGGGTCATTGATGCCTCTTCCGCGGCCTCGGTGGCGGCTGCATCGGCAGGGGCCTCTGGCTGCGTGGTCTCTTCGGTAGGAGCAACAACCTCGGCTTCTGGGATACTGATATCCTTGGTGTGGTCAATCTCCTCGGTTGTCTGGACAGCCGCAGTCTCTTCGATGACCTGTGGGTGGTCTGCCGGTTGCTCTACTGGAACTGACACTGATTCGGTCTCAACTTCTGCGGCACTAATCTCCTTAGCGTCATCATTCTCTTCAATATGCTGTGGGTGATTTGCTGGTGGCTCGTCTGGGACTGGCACTGCTCCGACCTCCGCAATAGGCTCAGCCTCAGTGGTTTCCTTTAACTCCACCTGAGGCTCGGCCTCAACCAAAGGCGCAGCTTCAGGCTGCTCCTTGTCATCTGTAATAGATGTCTCAGGCTCAGGTGCTGCAGCTTCCTCCTCTTGTTTTTTGTTTTTCTTTTTATTTTTCTTCTTCTGCTTCTTTGAGACAGCTGTCTCAGAAGCCTCCTCCTCAACAGGAGATTCTTGTGTCTGTGTCTCAGGGACAACATCAATTGGGACATCCACAGGCGTCTCTTCAACATCTTTCTCCTCAACCCCCTTCTCCGCGGAGAGATCACCTGCTTCCGGCACAGACGATCTCTCCTCAACATTCTCACCATTCTCAACTATCTTCATTTCCTCAAGGGGTGCAGGCTCAACCCGCTCCTCCTCTCGCTCCTGTACAGTTGGGGCAACATCGCCCTCCTGCTGAGCATTTTCCTCCACCAACTCGCCGGAATCAACTGAACGCTCAAGCACGGGCTGGGGAGGATAATCTAAAAAAGGACTCTCTATCGGCGTCTGCTCTATCTGCGAAGACATGTATGTATCAGTCGAGGCCGTATTTTGCGCCGTGGCGTCGTAAGTTTCTATGTCGTGGGACTGATGTTCTTTACCGTCATGTTCCGCAGGCGAGGATGCCGATACGGCTGAAAGTCCAGGGGCGTCTGTGTCCGTAGAGGTGAGGACCTTTTCGACGCTGTTAGCCGCTTCAACGGGTGTAGCAGGCTCGGTTGTCGGGGCAGAAAGCGAATCGGATGCTGCGGCGTCGTTATCGGCGTCGACATTCTTTGACTGGCGTTTCTTCGCTTTCTTGGCAGCTTTGCGTCGCTCCTTGGCTGACATGCCAGCGTCTTCCGTCGTTTCTGTGGGAGAAGTGGCAATTGAGTCTGCTTCCTGGGGTGGAGTTGGCTCAGCATCGACAATCGCCTCAGTGGCCGGAGGTTCATTGTCGGTTTCCTTGACGTCAGGAGTTTCCTCTTTTGACACATCGTCAGATACGGTTTCTGTTGTCACGAGTTCCTCGGCCTTGGTTGCCTCGGGCTCAATGGTATTTTCTTGCTCGAGACCTTCTGCGGGTTGTGCTGGCGCTGGGTCAGAAGCTGGAGTATCTTGCAACTCCGGTGTCTCAGTGAGAGTGTCGGTGGAAGTTTGAACAATAGGCTCAGATTCCTGCGCTGCGTCTGTGGCAGTAGGGGCGTTGTCGGCCAAGTCCACAGACTTGCCCTTCTTCTTGTTCTTCTTCGCCTTCTTTTTCTGTGCTGCAGTCAAGGGAACTTCTGGCTCCTGTGCACTCGGCGACTGAGGTTCCGAGAGGGTCTGAGCATCTTGCTCCGGCTGCTCTGGCAACTCCGCTGCGGATATTGGCTCCTCAACTTCAACAGGAATGGGGGTATCGGGCGCAGCAGTTGAGACTGGCTCAAGTTCGGTGATCCCCTTGCTTTGCTCAGAGGAAGCGGGTTCTTCTGTCTTCTCCGGGGCTTCCCCTTCAGCAGCAGGCTCGGCAACTTCTTCGGTAACTTGCAACTCTTTGGCTGATTCTTCAGACATGATTAAGTCAGCCGGAGCATCCTGAGATTCGACCTTGTCTTCAGGCGCGGATAATTCCTGCTCTGCCTTGAGCTCTTCGGTCAGAGTTGCCTCATCGTCAAAAGCAACGGACTTGCGTTGCTTTTTCTTGTCTTTCTTGGCCTTCTTTTTCTGGGCGGGAGTCATTGCCTCCTCCTCCGCAGCCTCGGTGGCAGCTGTATCAGCAGGGGTATTCTGCTGCGTGACCTCTTCGAAAGAGGGTTCTTCGGCCTTGGGCGCTTCTTCTTCTGTTATGATAGGAGCCTGGGCATCTTGGTCGATAGTGGGCTGTTCGATTTCCCGAGTCGACTCAGGCTCTATGGGCTCTTCCTGAGGGGATTCGGGCTTGGGCTCCTCAACAGACGTAGACTGTTCTTCTTCAGCAATCACTGATTGACGCTTTTTCTTCTCTTTCTTGGCTTTCCGCTTCTGAGCAGGAGTCATTGATGCCTCTTCAGCGGCCTCGATGGCGGCTGCATCGGTAGGAGCCTCTGGCTGTGTGGTCTCTTCTGGAGAGGGCTCTTCAGCCTTAGGCGCCTCTTCATCTATCGGAACAGAAGTCGCCGCATCTTCGTCGACTTTGAGCTGTTCGCTTTCCTGAGTCTGGATTGGCTCAACGGGCTCTTCCCGAACGGATTCCGGAGTAGGCTCCTCGTCTATTGGTGCGGGTATGATGACTTCCTCAGCTGGTTTAGGCTTAGACTCCTCGATAGGCATAGACTCTTCCTCTTCGGCAATCACTGATTGACGCTTTTTCTTGTCTTTCTTGGCCTTCCGCTTCTGAGCAGGAGTCATTGATGCCTCTTCAGCGGCCTCAGCAGCGGCTGTATCGACAGCGGCATCCTGCTGCTTGATCTCTTCGGCAGCGTGTTCTTCAGTCTTAGGCGCCTCTTCTTCTATCGGAATAGAAGTCGCCGCATCTTCGCCGACTATAGGCTGTTCGCTTTCCTGAGTCTGGATTGGCTCAACGGGCTCTTCCCGAACGGATTCCGGCGTAGGCTCCTCGTCTATTGGTGCGGATATGACGACTTCCTCAGCTGGTTCAGGCTTGGACTCCTCGACAGGCATAGACTGCTCCTCTTCGGCAATCACCGATTGACGCTTTTTCTTATCTTTCTTGGCCTTCCGCTTCTGAGCAGGAGTCATTGATGCCTCTTCAGCGGCCTCAATGGCGGCTGCATCGGCAGGGGTCTCTTCCGGGGAGGGCTCTTCAGCCTTGGGTGCCTCATCCGTCACAATGGGAGTATCCGTGACTTCATCGGGAGAAGGCTGGTCAAGCTCTTGAGATGGCACGGCTTCGGTGGATTCGGTAGGTTCAGGCTCAGCAGGCACAGATGCAGGTTCCTCTTCGGCAGGTGAAAGCTTGACCTCTTCGTCGGCGGCTGTAGGCTGTTCCTGTTCAGCGGCAACTGATTGGCGCTTTTTCTTGTCTTTCTTAGCCTTCCGCTTCTGAGCAGGGGTCATCGATGCCTCTTCAGCGGTCTCGGTAGTGTCTGCATTGGTAGGTGCCTCCAGCTGTGTGGGCTCTTCGGCCTTCGGCGCCTCTTCCATTACAACAGGAGCCTCCACGTCTTTATCAGAAGCAGTTTGCTCAAGCTCTTGAGATGGCGCTGGTTCGGTGGACTCATTCTCAGCTGGCACAGATGTAGGCTCCTCTTCGGGGGTTGTGATCTTAACCTCTTCCTCGGCGGGTATAGGCTGCTCCACTTCAGCAGCAACTGATTGACGCTTTTTCTTGTCTTTCTTAGCCTTCCGCTTCTGAGCAGGAGTCATTGATTCCTCTTCAGCGGCCTCGATAGCGGCTGCATCAGCAGGGGTCTCTGACTGCGTGGTCTCTTGCGGAGAGGGCTCTTCGGTAACAGCAACAGTCTCCACATCTTTATCGACTGAAGGCTGTTCAAGATCTTGAGATGGCGTAGGTTCAGTGGATTCACCTTCAGTGGGCATAGAGGTAGGTTCTTCTTCGGCGGGCGCAAGCTTAACCTCTTCTTCGGCGGGGACGGCCTTGGGCTCCTCCTCAGCAGGTGCAGGCTGCTCCTCTTCAGCGGCAACTGATTGGCGCTTCTTCTTATTCTTCTTCTTTTTCGACTTAGAAGAAGTTGCCGCTTGTTCATCTTCAGCCTGCTCCGCCACTGGACTTTCTGTGGATTCCGTGGGCTGAGTCACCGCCACAACTGGCTCTGCTGTAGACTCTGTAGGGTTGTCATCGATGGACTTGTCTAAAGCAGGCTCCTCTTTGACGGTTGGATCAAGCTTTTGTTCTTCCTGGAGGTCTTCCGTGGAGGCAGGAACCTCGACTGGCGGCTCTGGGGTAGTTTCTTTGTCCCCATCTTGAATATCAATAGCTTGTTCAGCAACCTCCGGGGTAGGAATAGCCTCATCTGCGGGTGCCTCGGGAGTAAGTTCGGACCCGACAATTGGCACTTCCTGAGTTTGCTCCTCCTCGGGCTTGGCCTCGGCTTCAAGATCACGGGCCACTTCGGGTTCTGTGGGCTCATCAACACCCGAAACAGCTTCGGTGGTAGGTGTGGCGTCACTCTCAGGCAAAATGTCACCAGAGTGTTCGACACTCTTTTCCTCGGTAGAATTAGGCTCAGCCTCAAGCGTGGGCTGCTCATCAAGTTGCACAGACTCCTGCTTCTGCTGCTTCTTCTTGTTTTTCTTGGCCTTCTTTCTCTCGGCGGCGGTCATGGGAACCTCGGGTTCGGGAGATTGTTCTTCTGTTTTGGGCGCATCGGTCTCTACAGCATCAACCGAGGGTCCTTCGGTGGGCGCTGGGGTCACATTCTCGCTCTTCGGCTCCTCTGCCTTGGCAATAACGTCCTGCTGGTCAAGGCCTTGGAGAACATCGGCAGGAGTGGTGACTTCTTGCGATACAAGTGGAACGTCGGCGATAACTTCGGTAGACTCAATCTGAGAAGATGAGCCAACGTCTTCTACCGGAGACTCAATTTCTTTCACTGTCTCGATAGTCTCGGTGACAGTTGGCAGAAGAGTATCCTCAGCAACGGGAGCCGCCTCGGGCTCGTCTGTAAATGTGGGCGCAACATCTTGCTCAGTCTGGGTAGCCTCGGAAGACACCAGCGCAGATAACTCCGCCGGAGTAACATCATCAGTTTCCGCGACAGGGGTGATATCCTTGCTTCGCTCAGCGGATTCAGCCTCAGGCGCAGGCTCAGCCTCAACAGACTTGATATCTTCGACAGCAGCGACAGCACCCTCTTCCTGCTCCTTTTGCTGCTTCTTTTTTGCCTTCTTGGCCTTCTTCCTCTCCGCGGCGGTCATAGGGACCTCGGGCTCGGCATGAGATTCTTCGGCTTTGGGCTGTTCCTCTGGTGCGGTAGGCTCTTCTTTGAGTGTCTCTGCCTCTGTTACCTCTATCGTTGGCTCTGGAAGAGAATCAGGGGAAGCTTCTGCCTGGGGCGGCATAGCCTCAGAAATTTCCTCGGGCTCGGGAAGGTCCTCTGGCTCAAGCGATTGTTCAACCTCGACAGGCAGCTCCATCTCGCGTTCCTGAGTAGGCGCATCCACCGGTGCGTCTTCAGTGATAAGGGGGGCTTCCTTGGCCATATCCTCGGCGGCAATCTCAATTTCAGGTGCCGGCGAGATAGACTCAGCAGGCTTCTCGTCGTCAGGAATGGAAGATTCACTCTGCTTGCCCTTCTTCTTATTCTTTTTGGCCTTCTTCTTCTGGGCCGCAGTCAAGGCGACTTCAGGCTCAGCTTCGACTTCAAGTTGAGGTTCAGCTTGAACTTCAACTTCGGGTTTAGTTTCAACAGCAGCAGGCTCTGAGATTTCGCGTGAAGCCTCCTCGGCAGGACCAGGGAGTTCAGCATTGGGCTCGACATCGATGACAGCGGGCTGTGACAGTTCATCAGATGGCCCCACGGGATCCACTGGCTCAGTCACGACATGTGTTGCATCCACAGCAGCCTCCAATGGAACTTGCTCCTGCTCTTGGGTAGCTGCAGGCTCCTCAATGGTGGTTTCGATGGGTTGCTCAACATCGTTGGTAGGATGTTCAAGATGTTCAGGATCAGAAGGTAAGGCTTCACCGCCAATTGGAGGGGATTGGGTATCCACAGGTTGGACAACAACTGATTGCTCAAGTTCGAGATCTTGGCTTTCTGGCTGCAATTCAGTCTCGGAGGCGGGCGTTTCAGCGGAAACCTGATTCTCTTCCACAGCAGCGGATTTGCGATTCTTCTTTTTCTTGTTTTTCCGCTTCTCCGCCTTAGTTTCCGAAGCCTCTGCGGCGGTATCGGCAACATCGGCAGCCACTTCGATAGGAGGCTCTGGTGCGGGCTCCTTTTCTTCGGCGGGCTGTGGAATATGTTCTTCGACAGCCTCTTGGAAGTTGTCTTCCCCTTCGGTATCTTCTTTGGGTGTTTCAGTAATTTCAGGCGTGGTGTCATCGAGAGGGGCCTCTGGAGTAGAATCTTCAGTTGGCTTCTCAATATCTTCCAAGCTGCGGGATACCTCCTCCGCATCTGGTTGAGTGGCACCGGTAATTTGGGTTTCATTGGCATCAGTGAAATCAGGCTCGGGGGTCTGCTGTTCCTCAACTGGCAGACTAGGATCTTCGGAAACAGGTAGAACGGATTCCTCCGTAGATACCTGTTCTACAGGCTCAACCAGCTCTCGGGATTCCTGTTGGCTTTGAGCTTGCTCTTCATCAGTGGCAGCAGATGGGATCGCAGTCTGGTCAACGGTATTCTCGGGGGATTCAATAGAAGTAGCAATATCTGCGGACAAGGGCGCAGCCACAGTCTCTTCGACAGGCGCATGTGCTTTGTCTTCTTCCTGGTCCTCAATCTCCTTGGAGGCAGACGTATCATCCTCAGGCTCTTCAGAAGTAGATGTATTTTTAGACTTCTTCTTCTGCTTCTTCTTGTTGCGCTTAGCCTTTTTAGTTGATGATGCAGTGTCCTCAGTCTGTTCAGTTTCGTTAGGCGCCACCTCAGCAGGCTCAAATTCAGGAGTTGTGACTACTTCTGTTTCTTGAGTTGCTGCAACCAAAGGCTCGATGTTAAGCTCACGAGAGACCTCGATAGGCTCAGCCTCAGATCGCTCAGGAACAACAACCTCGGGCTCGACATGCGTGCTTTCGATAGGTGCAGATTCGAGCCCGGGCTCATCAAGCCCAAGCTCAGGTCCAAGCTCGCGAGATGTCTCAACGGGCTGAGGCTCAGATTGTTCAGGGATAGCGACCTCAGGCTCAGCAGAGACAGCTTCAACCATAGGCGCGTCGGGCAGAGGTTGAGGATCAGGAGACTCAACAGGCTGTTCAGTCGACTCGGGAACAAATTCCTTGACCGTCTCCATCTCTGAGTGCACAGGCTCAGGCATAGCGGGGAAATTATCTTCGATGGCAGTAACGGGCTCACTAGGCGGCTCTTCATCAACAGGTGCCTTGTCATGGTCGTGAGAGGGACCGTCAGCGCCAACCGCCGCATCAACAATATCACTGAAGCCATGAGCCTTTTCGGGTTCATCTGCAGGCAAGGAGCGAGACTGATCATGCTCCTTGACAGCGGCAATAGCAGCCGCATCGACAACACCGGCTAAGCCGGCGCCCTCGGCAAAGTCCATGAAAGACTCCTTCTCTTGGGTGGGGGTTGCCGACTCAGGCTGAGGGCGGGAGACACCTTCGAGGGCGTCAAGCGCACGCTGCGTCTCTTGCTCCCTAGAGCCAACGCCAACCATGGAGCCCTCTGCAGAAGGCAAGGCATCCAGCGTGGGTGAGGGAGGCAACTCGTCCAGAACAGCGGGGTCCTGCAGGAGCTCAGAGGGAGAATGGAATTCGTATATGCGCTTTTCCTTCCTGGACTCTGAATCCTGGAAGTGTTCAGCGGTAGGCGTGGCCAGCTGCGAGCCGAGGAGGTCAAGGTCTCTATCATGGCTTTCATTCGCTTGGTCAGTTGAAATAGTCAAACCAGTCGGCCGCTGGATTTCCATGATTGAGTCGCTCAGGTCTACATGCTCCCAGCTCTTGAGGCCTTCGTCATCGTGGATGGACTTTTGGTTGTCCATTGACGGGGCGCGGGAGGAGGTCTTGCTGGATGGGAGCGACGGCAAGGGCTCCACGCTCTCGGGCTCGCCCTTGATCAGACTGTGGCGCTCGACCAGCCATAAAGGGCGGATCTCGCGCGAGTTTCGGAACTCGACTGACCCTGGCCGACGGGTGCGTTGCTGGCTAGGGGACCCTGGGGAGGCGATGGGGGCGGGTGGTTCAACGGGGACTGCGCGGGAGAGGCCCGGGGAAGTTGGGGGCCGGCGGAAGTGGAGAGGCACGGCTGTGGGTGATTCGTTGGTGGACTTGGCCACGGAGTGTCGGCGTTGCTTGGGGGATCGGGACCCCTGGGGGTGGCTTGTTTCAGGTGAAGCGGGGCGGCTCAGAGACTTCGGGGTCAGGTCGAGTGTCTTCTCTGTGGCTGGGGGAGAGGTGGAGTGGCTTCGGGCCCTCTGCTGCGGGATCTCATTGAGTCCTGATGCTGCAGCGACAACTGCTGCGCTAGCCGCTGCTGCTGGAAGCCACGAAGCACCATAATCCTCGCGCTCAGGGGCTAGAATTTCAGGGTGCTTCCTTAAAAAAGATTGATCGTCGAAGTTGTCACTATATCCGTCCTGCACATGGAATAAAACCAATAAAAGCTTAGTACATTTCTTTTTTGTTCGGGTTTTGTGGTTTTTGTGCAAACTGGTCAGATCAACCAGCGAAAAAAAGGGAAACTATATGGGACAATAAAGTGTACAACCAAAATCACAACATAAGTAAGTAAAAAGAAAAGTTCAGATGCTATACCTTCTCAGATTCCCGTTTCCTTCCTGACTCCACGATTTCCTCGTACCGATGACGACGCCGCTCTTCCTTCTGCTGTCTACTGGACCTGTACTCCTCCAGATTTGTGTCATCCTGAGTACCCTTCTCCTTGTCCGACATGTAACGATCAAGCTCATCCCCATTGCTGGAGCTGCGGTGCTTGGAAGAACGCTTCTTATGACGACGGCGTTCATCATCTACACCAACTTCAGATATGGCTTCGCGGGATGCGCGCTTATCCAACGAAGAAGAGCGAGAATGGTCAGACCGAACACGCTCAGCTGGGGCCGAGACTTGTGAGCCGAAAATACTTCTCAAAAAGCCACCGCTTTTTTCTTTCTCGTCCTTGCCTTTGCGCCTCTCACGGGATTCGTCAATCCGAGCTGGAGAAGAGGTTATAGAAGCATTGTCATCAAAGCCGGCTTCCCGAGATGAGCGGTGACGATGCTTGCGGCGCTCAGACTTGTCGTCTCCAATGTCCGTAATGGCGGAGCGAGCATCGTCATCAACAGAGAAGGTGTCACCTTCATGCTTGGATCGACGCTTGCGACGTCTCTTCTTCTCCTCGCCACCTTCCGCGTCCTCGGGAGCGACTTCAGCATCACGATGTGGATCGAAATCATCACCGCTACGACGAGATTTCCTAGACTTAGCTGATTCAGATACGACAGAGCGAGACTCGTCACGAGACTCAGACACATCCCGCGATCGGGAAATATCAAAGTCATCGCCGCTGAGTCGAGAACGGCGAGATTTGTTAGTCTCATCTTTTGAGACAGGTGCAGAGAAGACAGACCGGGTGTCGTCATAAGACCCGGAGACCTCTCGTGATCTGGGGAGATCATACTCATCCTCACTGCGTCTCGATTGCCCTGTCTTCGATGACTCATACTCTTTGCCGGCAGGAGTAGAGGTAACCGAGTGGGTGTCATCCCGAGATTCAGATGGTTCACGTGACTCGTAGATCTCGAAGTCATCACCGCTCCGTCGAGACTTGCGGGACTTGGACTTAGATGTCTCGTCCTTAGAAACAGGGGCTGAGATAACAGAGAAAGAATCATCACGAGACTCAGGAACCACTGACTCCGGGTATTCAACAATTCCTAAGTCATCACCACTCCTCCTGGACTTCCTAGACTTGGACTTGGATGTTTCCTCCTTCGACACGGGAGCAGAGACAATGGAATAAGAGTCATCCGGAGATGGAGATGCCTCCCGCGACTCGTAAATCTCGAAGTCGTCGCCGCTGCGCCGGGACTTGCGAGACTCTGGTGTCTCATCCTTCAAAACAGGAGGCTCGGCGAGTTCCCGCTCTTGGAACTCGGGGAGATCGAAGACATCACCACTCCGCCTCGACTTCTTAGACTCGGACTTGGTCTGGGACTCTGAGTCCATGGCAACAGGCGCCGGCGCTGAGACCACGGATCTGGCGTCAGCCAAGTCTCTAGAGTCAGCTGTATCAAAGCCACCAGGCATCGAGAAGGCATCGACATCTTTTTCTGGCGAAGCGGTACGATCTCGCTTGCCATATTTGCCATTCAGCTGCTCGATCACCTCCTGGGCAATTGAGGCCTTGTCACGGCGTCCCGAAGAAATATCCCGATCTCCTGAGAAGGATTCTGGCTCTTCGAAGAAAAGCTCATCCTTGTCCTGAACCACGTGCTCAGGAGCGTAGGTCATATCAATGGTAGACTTGGGATCAATCTCTTCGATCTCTCCCTCGACGAAGCCGTGAGGCTCCTTTCGAGCCGATGCAGACCAGGGTGAGGTAAATGTGTGTTCATCCTCTGATCCAGGAGGGGAAGTGCGTGTGTGGTAGGATGGGTCGTCTGTGATCAGGGCGGGATCAAACCCAGCTGCGGCAGTTGCAGCAGCAATTGTAGCAGCAAATTCAATATCAGCGCCGTACTGCGATGTGCTAGGAATATCCTTGGGTTGGGATATCTCGGATGCCGGTAGAGGAACATCCTTGGCTGAAATTTCAGTAGGAGAAATGTCATGCTCAAGAGGATCCTGTTCGGAAGAAGAGGGGATGTCGTATTCGTGAGTTTCATGTTCGCCCCAGGAGACCCGGGAGCCGGTTGATCGTTCGCGAGGCTTGGTATCATGAGATTTATTTACAGGGGGGATTGGGGAGGTAACATCGCGAACAGAACCACCGTTCACGCTCTGGGGAGGCGTTGGCTCAATTAAGTTGAGCCCGGGGACTGGCCATGGGAGGCGGTCCACGTGTTGATAGGGTTCGTATGAGTAGTCTACCTCTGTAGGTGCAGGCTCATCATGTGTACGTCGCTCGCTAGCGGGCTCTATCTCCACAATGGTTGGCATATTAGTGGACTCGCGGCTGCGAGCGTGATCATCTGGGCTGTGTCGTAACTCCTCAGGGGCATAAAATTCTGCATAATCGTCGTAAACCTGTGCTGGACGGGGAGATCGAGGAGATCCTTTCTTCTGGTCTTCGCGGTGTTCCACCGTGGTCACCTCTTCATTAATGGGCTGGGCGGGCTCGAACCGCGACACGATCGAAGACGCCGCCACTGTATCAGTATCGTGTTTCCGCTCAGCGCGGCGTCTCTCTCGGCGCTCATTGTATCGCTGGCTGGCTTCGGATGCTTCGTCCGAGTCTGTCTTGCGAGAGAGAATAGTGCTAGCAGCGACAGCGCCAACAGCTCCGGCAGCTGCTACACCAACCCAGGATGAGGAGTCCTTTTCTCTGTCTCCGGCGTACCGGCGCTCCTCATCATCTCGCTCCTTTCGGCGACGCTCTTGACGCTCGGTTTCCAGGCGGGCCAGCTCTTCCTCTCGATCAATCAGTTGAACAGGTTGATCAGCAAATTCATCCCGATAGTTCTTGTCGCGACGAATAAGGCGGCGTTCCCTCTCTGCCTGCTCTTCCGTCAAGTTGAATTGCACGGAGGCTTGATCCTTAGCGGTGAACCGGCGCTTAAGACTGGAAGCAGTTTCCTGGGTAGAGAAAACAGGTGAGGAATCACTGCGTCGATGAGGTTTCCTGCGGTCGGCGTATGATGATTCTTCTGGTGCCCATGCTGCATCACGAGGGGCTTGGACCTGCCAGTTGTAGTGTTCGGCCCCATTGGCGAAGATGGGTGGGACCGCTGGGGCGCTGTACACGGGGATTGATCCCGGAACGGCTCCCTGGGTAGTGTACACTGATTGGGAGACTGGGGTGAAAGGCTGAGGCTGCTGAAGGGGGATGGGTCCCGGGCGGATGAGGGCAGGTTCCCCGGCAGATACAGATGGGGACATCTTTGCAACATCAAAGCGAGAGGGGTCGGAAGTAGGCATTGGGTAAACTTGTTGCAGGCTTCCAGACCTACTTGGGGGGCTGCTATCATGGTGACGAGTAGAAGAAATTGCTGCCGCTCCAATAGCGCCGGCGCCAGCTAACATAACAGCATTTGAAGCACTCGACCGCTTGTCTTTCTTCTTCTTGTCCTTCTTGCTTCCCCATCTCCAGCCCCATTTGCTGCTAGCGGAGTCGGAGGAAGAGTCAGCGCTGCTTCCTCCGAACGCAAGCGCAGAGCTAACACTTGTAGAAGACTGGTCCTCCGACTCAGCATCGACCCATTCTTCATCCTGTGTGGTAGAGTGGGCGTAGTTGGACTGTCGAGATCGAGGTGTATACATCTGGCCTGCGCTACGCCCGGGACCGTGGGGTGAGGAGCCAGCCAAACGGGTTGCCGTGTCACTAAGCTCTACCAAAGCGGCGTCGACATCTTTACCCTTTCTGCCCTTCTTCTTAAACTTGGAGGACTTCTTCGAGAACCCATCTCCAAAGGCTAGATCATTGTCCAATGAGGAGGATGAAGACCCACTTTTGAAAGAGAAGAAACCGCTCCGCTTCTTGGTGTGACGTTTCTTCTTGTTCTCGGAAGAAGCAGTGAAGAAAGAGCCGATACCTCCAGCAATGGACTTCTTGGCGGGCCGGGGAAGATTGACAAAGGACGATGATGATGACGAATCCTTTCGGCGGTGTCGTCTTTCAGGAGAACGACTGCGAGAGCGGTTACGCGACTTTGCAACAGCGAGCGCAGCCCCACCCACTGCGGCCCCGAGTGCAGCCTCCTTCAAATACGAATGCCGGCCAGAACGAGAGGAAGACCGCGATCGGGACCGTGTGTGCCGAGAATGTCCAGATTGAGATGCATGCTTGGAGTCTGCATAATGCTCTCTTTGAGGACTACGGCCAGAACGACGGGTCACACCACGAGAGGTATGGCTCCTTCGGTCATCCTCTCCGCCATGGGAGGAAGCCACTCGGCCGGAGCGAATGCTGTAAGAATCGTCGAACTCCTTGCTCGAGAAGAGCGACTTTGTCGCATAACCGGCTAGCATGCCCGGCAGCCACGAGGAAGATTTCTTGGACTTCAACCGTCGGCGGCCCTCATCATCGGAGGAGTTGTATCGGCTGTTTTTGCTGACTCTGGAGCTACCACTGCTCCGCCGATCGGGGGAGTTTCTGCGGCGTCTGTGATAATGGTGCTTGCGAGGGGCATCGACGGAGCTTGTGCCAGGTTGGAAACAGTACTTGCACACACCGATGGTTTCCGTGTAGTCCTCAAATCTTCCAACGGCCTCGGGGTCACGCCAGAAATCAACGAATCTTCCCATGGGGCCACGCTGACGCTCTTGGAATGCTAGAGCGCTGGGTCCATGGGGATAGAAACCCGGGTTGTAGGCAGCTTGAGCAGCGTATCCACCCGCGCCTGCAGTATACAAAGCATTATTGTGGCCAGGGGCATATGGTAGCATCCCACCAGCTTGGGAAGCTTGCTCGTGGTGCTGGAAAGCGTATTGTGGCGCGTGCTCGGGGCTAGAGGAATGATGGTGATGACCCACCATGTACCCTGTTGCAGCACCTGCAGCCGCAATACCGACACCTTCGCTGAAGCTATGAGAATGGGATGGCTTGGAGGGAGGCATTTGGCTGCTGCTTGCCATCGCCTGATTGTATTCCATTGCCTGGTTGTGTGTCATTGCCTGGCCCTGTACCACTGACTGACCCTGATGTGTGTAAGAAGTAGTGTGCTGTGGAGGGGAATGCGACTCCGAGTGAGACATCATATCACCAATGCCATAGGCGGCAGCTCCAACAGCGGCAGCAGGAAGAATGCCCGATGAAGAAGGCTTCGCAGGCTTCGACGGCTTCGGGGGTCTAGATGAAGAGACTGCCGGCGGCTGGCTTTGCTGTACCGGAGCGTGGAAATCATCGTCGAAATAGGCCGCCGCCGCACCAGTTTCGCCCAGGCTACTGGGCTCTGGAGGTGGGTTAGCCGATGGAGATGCTGCCATCAAGTGTGCCTGGGTATTCGGAAGCACACTTGGGGGAGCCGGTCGAATACCGGGCTGGTGTTCAACAGACTGGCCTTGGTCACCATAGTAGTCCGCCGCAGCGCCGGCAGGGTTAGGCGGCCGATATGGTGCAGCAACTTCCTCTGGGAACTGGCCGGGAAATTGCTGCTGTACGTGCGGGTCATATGGAATTTCATGCGGTGGCGTATGGTCAGCAGATGGCATCCCAGTGTCATGTTGCATGGGAAATTGCGAGAATCCCGGGGCGCCAATCTCGGCGGCAAACTGCGCGCCGGGGGCGCTAGGTGGCATATTTGTGGATATTGGTGGCATATACGGATCCCCTGAGTGTGTGCGGCGACGGTCGCGACGGTCGCGCTCCTGATCCAAGTCATCATCCAGGGTATCTTGTGTTCCTCGGCGGCTCCTTCTCTTCTCGCGCTCTGGGCTTTCAGATCGGTCCAGGTCGCGCCGACGAGAACTCTTGCTTTCCCGCTCACTGTCTCTGCGCTTTGGTGTGCGTTCAATATAATAGCGATCGGAGTCATCAATGGCTTCTGGCTCGGCGGTCACATAGGTTGATGCGATGGATTCGCCGGCAATGCTAGGTGGGCCACGCTTACTGCGGGAAGCCGAAGGCGAGTACGACGACAAATCACCCAGGCCGCGGTCACGGTCGTCACCCCGTGAGGACTTGCGACTTGAGATTGATCTTGTGTCAAACTTGTCGGTTTTTTCGGACTTGCGCCGGCTGCTCTTGGAGCTGCTACGAACGTCGGATGAGGACGACGAGCGGCCCCCGCCCATCAGGGCTTTGAACATGGTGGGCAATTAATTTGGATAGCCAGAGTGAACCATGTGGGATGAAAGGAATGTAATGATTGGAATGGGGGGTGAGGTATGGGGAGGGGAGGAGTTAGTTGTAAGTCAGAGAGAATGCAATGTTATGGGTTTGTTTGGGGGGGAGTAAACAACGGAGCTGAGCCGTGGATCTTGTACCCGGGAAAGGCCCCCAGTGGATCTCAGCTTGAACTGTGGCGCTTAACCTCACCTTGTTCTCTTGTTTAGTTTCGAGTATCGGATAGAATCTGTGTGATAGGGGTTAGATGAGATGCAGACGATCTGCTGAAAAGATGCGACAGTGAAAAATGTGATTCAAAGCGCTGATGAACTGTCGGTGCAACAAGTGGAGCGAATCAAAATCGCGGTGAAGCATCGTGCACGGACCAACATGGGGCTGGGGCTATTCCGTCACTTATTCACATCCCAGCCATCTATACAACGCACTGTGTGTACTACGGAGTACTCCGTACCTCAGATATATATCCAAAAATAAAGGTGTTTGGTCCAAGTCTATCTACTTTGTACTTCTCAATACAGAGTACGCTACAATGCTTATATTAGAACACGAATCATCACATGCTAGGTCGCTGTACTATACCTAGCAACTAAAAAGAGTATGCCCAATGTCCTATTATTGACAATAACAGTCCAATATATGCATCAGCACACCAAATAATAGCACAAACTCACAGCCACAATATCATAACCCAAGTATTAATCAACTGATAACCCCCATCAAACCGGCAACCCTAATCAACTCTCATCAACTTCGCCAACCTATACCTCAGCAAATACTATAACCCCCCAGACAAAACCCCAAATTCCCTGCAATCCACCCAGCAGAATTCATTCTTAGCCTTAAGCAGTCGGTTAACAAGCTCATCAGCAGCCGTCCCAGTGTGTAGCAGTGGATCAAACCAAGTATCCTCGAGAGTCACATCATCAATAAGACTGGTCCTAGTAAAGCCATGGGTGACAAGCACAGTGCAAAGCTTAGGCACATGATATGACATAACCAGCTCAACAGCAAGTTCCTCATGGAACGCAATGGCCGCAGTCTTGGACGCCGAGTAATCGACCATATTAGGCGTGACGGCGTACATATCCAACCAATGTAGCAACAGTGACAACAATACCATGATCCACCTTGACCCTGTCGGGCAAAAGCTCCTATGCGAGCCAGTAGTACGTGAGCGTGCTGACTGCGAACATGTGGCGCGTCTGGGCTGGGGTTGCTTTGGGGATTATTTTTGCTGGTGTAGATTCCTGCGTTATTGATTAGGATGCTGGGTCGGTCAAAGAAGATGCGGAATGTAGGTGCTACATCTGCGATATTTGTCACGAAGATTATGTCGCATTCTTAATACCGGACGCTGTTCGGTAGCCCGTCGTCGGTTGCTGGCGGAGACATGTGTAGGATGGCGACTGATATCGTGCGCCCCGAGCAGCTCAGCGATGCGTCGGCCGATACCGTTGCTGCCACCTGTTAGGATTACAACTGTTGTATGTATTGCTGACACGGTTGTTTATTATGCGATGGTCTAGTCAATTGACTAACCAGTTAATGAGGCCTAAGGCTTTGATGGCCTTGTCGATATTTGGGCGCGCTTTGGCAATATCATGGCCTTGGGTTGTGTATTAGGCCAGGGCAATAATGGGAAGTAACTTCCGGGGGTCTAGAAGACTCCGAGAGATGAAGTTGCCTAGTACATCAGCCGTAAAGTCCGAGATTGTTTGCTAGGATTAGCTAGTCATTATAAAGCCATGTGTTGATGTCTTCTCTATGAGGGCTATTTTCTTGCGTTTGGCCATCTCTAGACTGAGTTTATGTCGATCTCTACCCAGATATCCAAGACTGGACCTTTCAACAGCTGAAAGATAAAAGAGACTGTCTTTGTGTATACCATCTACATAGTGAGCTGACTAGTGCCTCTGAATTAACTCCTGGTCAGCACAATGCAGGGAACCCGAGGGAGGTCCGCGAGCAGCATACATTTGCTTTCTTTGTGGTTGCCAACATAATATGATCATATTGAGACATATGTGTATATGTCCAACAAGAATAGTCGGCCGCGTTTGGGGCCTTGTGATGTCTTTTTAGATTGTCTTTTTAGATATCATGTTAGGTGTATGTGAAGGCGGTAAAAAAAAAGCATACTTTGTGCAAGCGACTTTTCTATGTATAACCTGTGATTTTGTCCAATTAGACTTTCGAATATTTGGTTTGGTATTGGCCAGCCCTGATGAAACCATGGGAGTTGGAGCCGTAGTAGCAGAACGGCCCACAAAACGCTTCCAACCTTGGAAGCTTGTGCATGAACCCTAAAGCTTCCATTTCCAGTTGAGCCACATGATCAAGCAATATCAGACTTCGTCTCAATTGATCTGTGTTCTGTTCAATCATATAAACTACTAAAAAGAAAATCTACAGCAAATCACCACCCAAATAGAGCCCACACTGAAGATGAGGTATAATTCGAAACACCAAAAGCCAACCACGAAATGCAAACATTTGCATTGAATATGAAAATGATATGGCGCAGCCAAATCAACAGAAATAAGTAGGCATATTGTAGGAGCATCCAAAAAGAAAAGCCAACAGAATGTATGACTGGATGCATGCAATGTAAGTAGAATAGCCACACAAGACACAATAACTCCATTCCCAAGACGTATCTTCACGGGGGACAGACCGTCGGAGCCACGAAATGCTTTCGGCCCCAAAAACAAAAGNAAAAAAAAAAAAAAAAAAAAAGAAAAGGAACGAGTCAAAGCCAACCCAGTCATTACCTTGAAAGAGGTAATGAAAGAATAAGCGACTCTGCTCAACGTGTGAAAATAAGCCACACCAATCAATCACCGCGTGAAAGCCCATGTAATCTGATCTTGTCTCAGATGCACGAGTGCCGAGTATTGAATCGGATAGGGTGGGGAATCATCAATGAAAAGAACGGTATAGTGCACAAGGTATAGATGACAGACAGATAACAGATGTCGGGCGCGGAAGGGCTCGGGCTTAAAGGGACAAGGACATGCATGGTGTGTTCATAAGGATATAGGATATCAGATATTGGGTTGCGAAGCCCACAGGAACAGGACAAAAAAAAACTTTGACGCTAGATGCACATTTAAGGGAAGCTCATGCTGGTAGTTTGGCTGCTCAGGCTTGGAGTGTGACTGTTCAGGCTTGGAGTGTGGCTGCTCATGCTGGCTTGGCTCAAGTCAGGAGCACGATCGAAGATCTTCTGGTAGATCTCAGTGAGAATGCGAGCATCGGCGCGGAGAGTGGGGGATATATTTTCGCTTTGGATGAGGAAACCTATGGTGCGGACGAGGAGGCGGTCGAGTTGTTCTGGTTCGACAAGCTCCTGTAGACTTGAGATAAAAGTTGCAGATAGGACGAGCATATTGCCGAATTGTCTGCGAAGAAAGTGTTAGTATTATCTCGACATCCGATTCTTTGAGATAGGGGTCAGAGGAGTCCTTACGCATGGGCAGTGCCGAAAATGTTGGTGACGACCAACCGATGTCCGCCTACACCGTCAAAGGCCTCTGTGCTCTTGATAGCTGATGCAATGCAGATTTCGCAGGCAGCCTTTAGCTTCTTCGGCAGATCGTGTAGACGGACTTTGGGGGGCTGCCAGTCAGTAGAGACTGCGGCCGGCATTGAGCCCATCTCACTAGACATACGCGCCATTTTCGTAGCCCGAGCGGAGCTGTGTAGCATCGAGGGGGATAATTGTTGCGAGGTAGGTGAGTCTACCAAAGACTGGCCGACTGGACCGACGCGGGCACCTGTGTGGCCGTAGTGCAGGGCGTGGTAGAGAAGAGGCCGGTGAATAATATACCGGGCACCGTAATACTTAGCACGCATGCGAGCGGCGTTGATTTCGTTTGCCGGCGGGTCATTTTCCTCCCACTGCATGCTCTGTGGTAGGCTTTTACGCCAGAGGTCGAGGTTCAGGCTGAGGGCTTCTTGAACAGTGGATGACCATCGTGTCTGGCCTTGCTTTTCGACCTTGTACAAGTCTGTATGAACTCGGTTTAAGACTTTGCGTAGATGGATTTGGGCAGAATAGAACAGCATCATCATCGTTTGGGGTGCAGTAAGATCGTTCGGTAGAACAATTGTCCATTTTCCTTTTGGGATAGCCATCCGACCCTCGGAACGGGAGATGCCACTCGCCGGAATGTCCAGCTCTGCAAGAAGATCACTCTCCAATTGCAGACAAGTCCAGTACGCGAAGTTATACAAGTCCTGTGTAGCCCCCTCTTCGAGTCGCTCATATCGCTTGGTTCTCACAAGAACCTGGCAAGCCCTTGAGGCCTGAGAAATCCAACTGTGGCTCTGGAAAGGATGGGCCAGCTGGCCGGCATAAAGACCAGCAAGCAAGGCGCACTGGACGTGTTCTAGCTCGTTGCCACCCTGCAGATGGCCCAATATTGCGGTCGCGTATCCGTAGAGAGTCAGACCAGGAATGGCCTGATAGTTCTTCGTGTTCCCTTGTTCGTCATGAGTGTCTGTCACATCTCTCCTTGACAGGCCTTTTATGTGTTCGCTCATTGGAGCGGCTGGGAAAGATTGGCCAGGAGGCTGGGTTGGCATAGAATAAATTGAACTCGAAAGCGACATCTGCATGGGTACCGAGTCGGAGTTTGCGGGTGAGAGCACACCATTAGTAACGTATGTCCCATTTACAGTCGGCTGTGGGACAAATGGTAGCAGCGGACGAGGAATTAGCTGGTCGCGGTAGGTAATCTTCTTGTCCATGATAGGGCCAGGGAGAGGGGCGCGAGCTTCGCAAATAGCTCCGAGGGCCAGGCACAGCAGGACCATGGCATTGTCAATGTTTTTACCGACTCGTGGCCGCAGCGGGTTAGAAATAGTTTCCATGAACTCGCCACGCACACCCAGGTTGTCGTTTGACCGCCTCCTTTTGGTTGGTGGCGGACCATCGCGAGCTATCCGTGAGTAATTGGAAGCCGAACTCGGTGATGTGTTGAGGCGACAATAGCATCGGATGAAGCAATCGACCTTGAAATTGAGTTCGCTCTCCATAAGGAATGGGTGAAGCCTAAACATGTGCTCCAAGTAGCTAGCATAGTAGCGCTTAGCAGTCGTAGCATCGAGCCTCAAGTTCCCAGCTACGTCAATGTCAACGTCAGCATCCGGTCCTGCACCATCCCCATCGGGTCGGCCACCCTTGGAGTCACCATCCATTGGTAGTTGACTGTCATCGGCAGTGTACGAAATCTCGCCTTGGCCGTATATGCTGATTAGACCGCGCTCTTCTTCCAACCGCATCACATAATCCTCGTCATATACTGCAGGATGTAGCAGCCTCTTAATTGACGGCCACATCAACAGCTTGTGAGCTGCAGTAGTGTGTTCCACTGGAATGGAGAGCTCTCCCTCGGCCTCCTTTTGATCCTCGAGCCTCGGGTCCAGGGGTCCAATATTTTGACCAAACTTCGATGACGCACCTACGTCCTGACTTCCGGGGTCCAAAACATTTGGAGGCGAGGCCTGGCTCTGAAGCATCTCTGTTTTGAGAGGCGGGTCCTGCTTGATGACTGGCGGTGGTGGCGGGAGGACCGGACGTTCTGGGACAGTCTGAGTTGGTTGTTTGACCGGCTTGTTGACCATTTGCGCTTGCATCTGCTCTAGCATTTGCTTTTGCATTTTTTCGAAACGCTCATCCATGCGGTTGTCTCGCTCCTCCATACGGTTCTCTATCTGGGAGAGCCGATCCAATACCAGCTGGGTGGTCTTCTCTTGTTTGTGCGGCGGAACCTCTTTGTAGACACAGCCAAGGTTGTTCTCTTTACAGTGGCTGCAATTCGGTCGTCCCTCGTCACATTTTGCTTTCCTAGCTCGACATTGATCACAAGCCTATGTAGCTCGAGTGTTAGTGAAAAGATTCCCCCGAAAATAATCCGGTCTTCTACTAGCTCAACATACCTGCGTGGCCCTATTTGCCTTACGCTGACGTGCTCCAAACGCCTGGTTTTGGTAAAATGCTTGATCATACCCGGCAGGCGGCGTGGCACTTGCCATTTGGGCAACGGGCGTCATGAACTGTGAAGCAGGAGGCAGAGCGCC